TTAACCCTTTCGCGACGCAAAGCGCGAAAGCGCGCTTACCGCTGAGGCCGGCAGTCTCTCTAGCGTGTGTCTCCCCAGGGCCGGAGGGTTTTTCGATGTTAAGCCTAATTCCATGAAATTACCGAAATATCAGCGCGTTGTTTAATATTGTTCTGTAGAGTATTTAAGTGACATATGCTTTATATATATTTCTATGGATACTTTATTTACTTAAGTTATTTCTTGTTTAAATGTAATATAAATATTAATAAGTTTAAATATTTTGCATAATTTCCTCTATTTCCAGCTCAGTTAAAAATTTTCGACGCTTCGACATTCTAACGGTAAAAAGAAAAAAAATTCAAGCCTACAAGATCTAATTATCCACTAAAAACTAATCCGAAAATCGAAAGTAGCGAGAGATAAAAAAAACTCCCTTACTTACTGTAAATAAATATCACGTGCTAATTTAAAGAGCCCTCATAAAACATTCCCCCCCTCCACTCCTTCCCCTAAAAACCACGTGAATGTACTTTCATCTTGAGTAGAAGGTCAAATCTACATGTATCTGAAACCATATGGACATACAATGCCATCTTTTGGAAGAAATTTCATTTTTTAAAACGTTCCGAAACGCTGGCACAAATAAGTGACGGTCGGGGGTGAACGAGAAAACTCTCTGACACGCGGGTGTGTCGGCCGGGAAGTGAGCGCGTTTCTTGCTGGCACATATATGTGACAGTCGGCTCGAAAGGGTTAATTTTCCATTTCTGGAATGAGATTTTTTCCTTTACTGTGTCCATTATCGCTGCATATTATGCAGCAGCGTGATTTTCCCATTGTTCTATTAAACATTTTCACAATTTATTCAACCACAATCCATTTTGCCTTAACATCAGTCCATAACGTATGATATCACCAATCATGTTACATGTTTGATGAAATACTTTCGAGTCTGCATGGGCATCTAGTTAGCTGGGTTCAGTGTGATTATTGCACTTTCGTGTGCCAGGTGGCAGAATCGTGGTGACACAGCGACATTGTCGCAGAATGCTCCCGAGTTCTTGCAGAAAGATTTTTCATTTTGGAAGTAAAAAATTTTGCTTTTCTTTTTCTGCATAAGTTTGTGAAAGATTTTTATCTTTTCAGAATTGTATTCAAAAGATGCCTTTCTTGCTCATTAGAGTGGGGGGGGGGATTCTCGTGATTTTTCTATTCTCATTTGAGAAAAATGAAAAATTTCAAGAAAAAAAGAAGAAAAATGGAGTAAAAAATTGATTTTTTTTTTATCTATAGAAATTTTCATTCTTTTTTCTTGGAGGTATTGATACTGATTTCGTAGAGAAATTTTATATTTGTTACAACAATTGAATCTCGAAATTAAAACATGCATTTAGTAACCCCTTTCATGATTTTGCTGTTAATCTTTTTCCCCCCCCTTTAGTTACTGCTGCAGATTTCACGATCTTTTATTTTTTCAATGTGATCAATTATAAAATGCAAAAAACGAAATAATTAGTGGGATCTCTCTACAAAATACAACAATATCGCCTTCAATATTAGAAAAATATCGCATATTCAATTAAAAATTTTTTTATTTGATCCAATTTTTTATTTATATATTTAATTTAATTTTTTTTAAATTAACGCTTCTGTTACTTTAAATTAGTAACATATATCTTTGTTATTTTTAAATATCTTGCAGAAAGATATTAGTATTAGAGAGGTAGAGGTATGTAGCAGAAAGCCCAAAAAAATTCTGCCACAGGGCTCATGTGCAACTCTGCTGCATTTTGCATGATATTCTCCATTTCAGGCTTCATTTTCACCCTCTGGAATCGAACTGAAAAATCTCTAGATCTTTTAATGGTATTATAATCAAGAAAAGAGTTCTTTGTCAGAAACTAGTTATTTTATCATGATCATGTTTTGAAAATTATTTTGCATTTTGTAATTCATATAGTGCTTTAAAATAGTTTTTGAGTGCTTGAAAAGTACATTAAAGGTGCTTATTTTTTGTTGAGAGATTTGGCTATGCACCCTGTCATGGCAGAGTAGAGTGTTTGTGCTTTATTGAATCAGCATTTATTTTTATAATAACCACTTGCCAATTTGGTTTTACAACTTCAGTTAAAATGCCATGTAACACTCTCTTTGCATTAAAAGACTAATAAGTGTCTTGTAATAAAACTTCATGGAAAGCTATTTTCATTGTAAAAGTTTTCTATCTTGAATTTTGTACAAATTAAAGTTTGCTTTATTTCCATTCATAATGCAGAATGCAGTTTTTCTGCATTTTGTTAGAAATATGGAAATAGCATTATAAATGTACGCGTTCAATAGGTAAATATTTAAATTAGTACTCTTTCTTTTTTGTTTTGTTTTTTGTTTGCTGCTCATTCATCTGAATAAAAATTTCTGGATGATTTCAATTCTTAAAAGTGAAGATTGAGACAGATTCTTTATTAACTTTATAGCAATGTTCATATTCTATAGAACAAACTTAACTGACTGACTTATCAGTGACAAACTTTTTATTTTTTTGAACTTCATATGAATAAAAAAATGTTTGATCGTTTCATTTTCTTTATTAACTATATGGTTTTAAAATTATTTTTAATTGATTATTTTTTAATTCTTGCCTTTATGAAGTTAATTTATATTTTCTGTCCCTCTCACCCTGTATTACAGTAGAGTGCCGATTATCCGCATCCTTATTATCCAAACATCCAATTATACGAACTATGTCTGAATTCTTTTTTTGTGTGTGTTTTTTTTTTAAAGTTTAGAATACTTTTTAACCTTTCGACAATTTTTCTAAATTAAGAAGAATAAATAATATCCCCTATATCCGAAGACAATATTTAATTTATAACCTTTTTAGCAGTTTTCATATAATAGCCATACATACATGTATTGTGATACAGTTAAACCTACATACCCCTTTAGCCCTTCACAACTGAAAATTATCTTCTAAGAATGCGAGCTTTATTTTGATAGTCTACAATGGTTGGAATGCAGGAGGAGTTAATGAATAGATAAGTGCTGAACTTCAATAATTGGGGAATGGGTATTTGTCACTTATGGTTAATGATTAGTGATTACAGTGCTTGGAATCTTAAATCTTGGAATAAAATTCCTCACAGGAAAACAAACAAAACTGAAGTTTCTGAACCAGTAGATCTTTCGGATGAAAATGATGAAATTGTTGCTGAAATTTTGAATGAAAATCAGAACTCCACAGACGAAGAGGAAGAAGGTGATCATTCAAGATAGTGGACCTTCTCATATAGAAGCATGCAATTCATTAGATTTTGCAATGAATTGGCTAGAACGTAAAAATGA